TCGCAAGACGAAAAGAATCCGTTCCGCGATTCTCTTCGTCTAGCGGTTTTTTCGTCTTGCGAAGCAAGCCCATTGACTGCTTAGCGCATTAGTGCTACAGCGGTCTAGCGGCTTTTCGCGATCAGCTGTTAAGCGGGTTATCAGCGGAACAGCTGATAGGCGGCTTAGCGGCTTAGGAAAAGGGGGGGTAGCGAAAAAAACCCGCGGGGATGCGCAAGATTTTTTTGTCTTGCGAAGCAACCCCATAGGGAAATTTGTTTTGCGAAGCGCCTCCAAAACGGAAAACCCTTTCGTCTAGCGGGTTTTCCGTCTTGCAAGGCGTTCGTCTTGCGGGGCACCACTGTATGCAGCTGGATAAAGTGTTGATTCATATTTATTTTATTACAGTACACCCCTGCTTTCTTCTGTCATGGAACCCAAGATGGTTCCCAGAAAGCTTCTCATCTAGTATAACTTCAGCAAGGCGGTGGCCTCGTGTGCTTTTGCATCAAACTTATTGGAACAATATGAGCAAGAAGCAAGTTTAGTTCCCATCGTTATGCCTCTAGAAGTATAACTCTCATGAATTTCCTATGGGACAAACTAAAGAGCTCTGCTTTGGGGGCAGTGTTGCAGTATATGTGTTGAGGGGGCCAAAATCTGAATGATCCAGCCATCAGCTGTGGGGAAGAGTATGTCTCCTTTTCCTTTCTGAAGGCACCTCCCAGAGCAGGGGTCGGATAGCAAGTGTGCGTGAGCACCCCCTCACACAATTTCCGGAGTCTGCACATGCGCAGATGCAAATTCTAGCGTCCACACATGCACAGACGCAATATCCGACGCTGCGGAAGCAGGTCCCCATGCTGCGCCACACCGGTTAGCGGTGCTGTGTGGGGACTCGCCGAATGGGCGGCTCGGTTCTGGGGCAGCTCATGGGGCAGTTAAACAGCCTCTGCGGGCTGCTTCTGGCCCATGGGCTGCAGGTTGCTGACGCCTGTCCCAGAGCATACTTCCCATCCCCTTAGCAGCAAAAGTCATTTGCCAGGTAGTGTACAGCTGATTTTCTAGCTTACTGGCAGGTAGGTCAGTGTTGCTTACAGGGAGGGAAAAGGGGAGAGGTATTGTGTCAGAGAAGTCGTTGTTGTTTAGTTGTTTAGTCGTGTCCGACTCTTCGTGACCCCATGGACCAGAGCACGCCAGGCACGCCTGTCTTCCACTGCCTCCCGCAGTTTGGTCAGACTCATGTTTGTAGCTTCGATAACACTGTCCAACCATCTCGTCCTCTGTCCCCTTCTTCTTGTGCCCTCAATCTTTCCCAACATCAGGGTATTTTCCAGGGAGTCTTCTCTTCTCATGAGGTGGCCAAAGTATTGGAGCCTCAGCTTCAGGATCTGTCCTTCCAGTGAGCACTCAGGGCTAATTTCCTTAAGAATGGATGCATTTGATCTTCTTGCAGTCCATGAGACTCTCAAGAGTCTCCTCCAGCACCATAATTCAAAAGCATCAGAGAAGTCAGCATGGTGCAAATGCACCAGTGGAACCAATCCGGTGTTTCTATTGATGTGTTTGCACCACACCAGTTTCCTCCCCGCCTTGACATTTTCTTCTTGGTAAGTAACAGCAACCCACTTGCCAGGAAGTTAGCTCCACTCCGCCTGGAGGGATGCTGACTCACATTCCAATAGGAAAAAGTGATTCATACCTGTGAACTCTCCTTCTTTCCTCCTTTCCTTCCCTTCTCTCTGATGTCACCAGATTTGTCAGACGTGTGGTGGGCTCTTTTCTAAGAAGGTGTCTGGAATGTTGCCTGCCAAGAGACAATATGTTGGAGTAGGGATTCCATTGCCCATTTGTAGTTGGAGTCTCTTCCAGCAAGCATTTTCAAGGTGCAGGGATGTTCTAATGCACTTGTAGCCTAATGCTGCTTTTGGCTCTTTGTTTTATTTGGCCATTTTCATCCAGGAACCATGTAGTAGTGTCACTTATATAATAATAATAATAATAATAATAATAATAATAATAATAATAATAATAATTTATTTATACCCCGCCCATCTGGCTGAGTTTCCCCAGCCACTCTGGGCGGCTCCCAATCAAGTGTTAAAAACAATACAGCATTAAATATTAAAAACTTCCCTGAACAGGGCTGCCTTCAGATGTCTTTTAAAGATAGGATAGCTGCTTATTTCCTTCACATCTGAAGGGAGGGTGTTCCACAGGGCGGGCGCCACTACCAAGAGGCCCTCTGTCTGGTTCCCTGTAACCTCACTTCTCGCAATGAGGGAACCGCCAGAAGGCCCTCGGCGCTGGATCTCAGTGTCCGGGCTGAACGATGGGGGTGGAGACGCTCCTTCAGGTATACAGGACCGAGGCCGTTTAGCAATGTTGCAGCAATGTTACATCAGGGCCTTGGCTCCTTGGTGGGAGAGTTGAATGGTGGTTTGCTGCAGACCGCCAGAACTCCTCTCAGTGTCGCCACTGCTACTTCTTCTACTGCCTGAGTGCTGGATAGCTGCGGTGAGCATCTGTGTCCCTTGCACCTTAAAATACTTGGGCGCAACATGCCATCACTGATCTGCAGTGACACTCCATGGCGTCTGGCCACATTGTGGGAAGTTGCAGTGGCCTGCTGAAGCCGCCTGGTATACAGAGAAGCAATTGCGGCACTTCATGTCCCTGCCTCATACTTCCAGGCGTTGCAGATGCTGCTCTATGCGCTGCCACGGGCGGAGGAAGGGGGTGCGGTGAGTGCGGTTTACCCCGGGTGTCATCCCTGAGGGGGGTGATATCGTAGCCCCTCCCCCAGGTGCACAGCATGTGCGCCGCTCCAGGTGCTGGAGCAGCTAGCTCTGCCTCTGTGTGCTGCTACTTCCTGGTCTGTTGATCCCACTGTTGCCACCTCTGTTTAGCACTGCAGGCCTGCGCAGCACCATGTAACCCCGGTGTTATGTACTGAGTTGAATAGTATCCAAAAGGCAGCAGTCTGATTGGTCCTAGAACAAGGGGATTCAGAATGCAGCAGTCTGATTGGTCCACAGAAGCCACCCAATCCAGCTCCAGGTGGAAGTGAGACCACAACCTGATTGGCCTACAGGAGAATCCCGGAATTAGCCAATCACGTGGGGCCCATAGTGTAAATAATGTATATAAAGCAGACATTCTGGGGGAACTTCCATTCCTCCTCACCACTATGAGCTGAATAAAGAGCATGAAATCCACTCTCGACTCCAAGTATATTTCACGCGCCCAAGGCCATTGGAGGAGCACTGAAAGAACTTTCCCCATAGGCTCTTCAAAACCAGCTGTGATGTGAAGAGGTCCTAAATGAGGGCCAATTCACAACTCCAGCTGCCCACTATTACACCCGGGACTAAACTTTTTACATGCAATGGTGTACATCGCTTCCCCTTGACCATGGAGCCAGCACACCAGGATTTTCACATGGCTGCTGTGCACCAGCAGACTTATAAGATCCTGTGAATGCCTTTTTTAAGGAGGACTGTCCCCATTAAATTCTCTCCTCCCTTGAAGCCGTTTCAAATTAATGCATCTAAAATGTGAGAATCAGACCTTGCAGAAATCCGTTCTTCTTTTTCCTTATAACCTGGGATAAGGAAAACCTGATCAACAAGCTTCTGCTTGGGTACTTGCACTGGAAAAATGAGTCAGTTACTGGGAGGTGGTTTCAGTGTCCAGACAGGAAACGCTCACAGGATCCCATTGCCACCCACAATATGCTGCGGAAAAACAAATGTTCTCAAGTGGAGAGAGGCTTGAGAAATCCTTGCTGCCTTTCTCACTTTGGAATAAGACCCTAGAAGTGGCTTTGTGCCTCAGGAAACCTGTTTTACCAGTTTCCTGCTTTCAGACTCCAGACATTACCCCTCCAAAGTGCCCTCTTGTTGGAACTGAGATGTTTCCCAACAGGAGGCCACAGTAAAGTATGTGCCATTGAAAGAGCCTCTAAACTTCTCATATGCTAATCGAAAGATTATCCCATCTGTGAGTATACACTTGCAAAATAGTTGGATCATTTTACCGTTCTTTACATTGGGTGTCCTTCACCTAAGTCAGGGGTCAGCAACCTAAGGCCCATGGGCCACAAGTGGCCCATGGGGGTCGTTTAACTGGCCCCTGAGCTGCCCTTGAACCAAGCCGCCCACTTGGTGTGTCCCCGCACGCTGCGTTAAACCAGTGTGGCACGGGGACTCCCTTCCGTGGCACCGGAAATTGTGTCTGCGCAGACGCGGGAAATCGCAGGCACGTGTGTGATCTGGCCCACGAAGGGATCTCCACTGGAGTGAACCGGCCCAGGCGAGGTAAACCTTGCCGAAACCTGAGCTAAGTTTTACTCAGTGTAGAATGAGTATTGGAATGAATGGCCCTAACTTAGTCATTTGCTGTTGTTGTTGTTTTGTTGTTTAGTCGTTTAGTCTTGTCCGACTCTTCGTGACCCCATGGACCAGAGCATGCCAGGCACTCCTGTCTTCCACTACCTCCCGCAGTTTGGTCAGACTCATGTTTGTAGCTTCGAGAACACTGTCCAACCATCTCGTCCTCTGTCGTCCCCTTCTCCTTTTGCCCTCCATCTTTCCCAGCATCAGGGTCTTTTCCAGGGAGTCTTCTCTTGAGGTGGCCAAAGTATTGGAGCCTCAGCTTCAGGATCTGTCCTTCCAGTGAGCACTCAGGGCTGATTTCCTTAAGAATGGATAGGTTTGATCTTCTTGCAGGCCATGGGACTCTCAAGAGTCTCCTCCAGCACCATTAGGTTCATTAATTTCAACAAGTCTGCTCTGAGTAATGTTTAGTTAAATACCACCCATTGTAATGCTAAACTGTATAGCATGGATTTGCGGTTGTGCAATTGAATGTCATTCTCTCCCCCCCCCCTGCATGCCCCCTAAGTCTATTCTAGGGGAGGGCAGATTTGGGGATGGGGTGGAATTCCATTGCACAAGCGTAAATCTTTCTACGGGTGGAAAGAGGGCTCATCCACACTTACTTTTGTTCTGCATTTCTAGGCACAGGTCCGGGCTTTCAAGGTCCGTGTCCGACAGGAAAGCACGGGGCAAAAGGTAAGTGTGGATTAGCCCTTAGTGGAATACCACCCACCATTGTATTCAACACAGTTTTGTTGTCTAGGCCCTTCTCTTAAAGCGGAGGGAAAGCTGGTGATGATAACAGTGAATAAATTGTTGGAAACACAATACAGCGGTACCTCGGGTTACAGACGCTTCAGGTTACAGACGCTTTAGGTTACAGACTCCGCTAACCCAGAAATATTACCTCGGGTTAAGAACTTTACCTCAGGATGAGAACAGAAATTGTGCTCCGGCGGTGCGGTGGCAGTGGGAGGCCCCATTAGCTAAAGTGGTGCTTCAGGTTAAGAACAGTTTCAGGTTAAGAATGGACCTACAGAAGGAATTAAGTTCTTAACCGGAGGTACCACTGTATTCAGAATGGAACGTATGAGTGTTTTCATGCATTCCAGTTTGTTATTGGTATGAGCTTTCGTGTGCATGCTCACTTCTTCAGATATGTGCATGCACACAAAAGCTCATACCAATAACAAACTTAGTTGGTGCTCCTGGAAGGAATTTTTTAATTTTGTTTTGACTACAGCAGACCAACATGGCTACCTACCTGTATCTGTACATAGTATGTGAGCAATGCATATCTCATTTTTCAAAGTTGGGACTCATGCCTCATTGACTTGTAGAGGGTGCAATGAAACCTGGCAACCATGTCCATTGCTTTTGTTTTAGGCCAGATTATGGGGGCTAAACAATCGTTTAATTGCATCACTTTATTAAAGTCAAAGGATATCTGCACCAAAGGATTTGCTGCAGATAAAGACACACTTGTAAAAACCTCTATGAGACATACTTGTAGACCTACTCGTAAAACATTGCTGGCCACCTAGACTTTTGATTTAGGGTGACAAAGACATGGGATATCCGTTGGTTTCCCCCGGTTTCCACACCCACCCAGCCACAGTGTAATTAACAAACATCCCTTCATTTGAAGCTTTCGAAATACACAAAATTTATAATTTCCTCTTTCCTGGTAGTACAATGCTTAGCATGCCACATGTAACTTTAATAAATTGTTTCAGATTTGTTTATTTCAAATGGCTCTTTGATCTAACTGTTGGTGAAAGGAGCTGTTCTGAACTGCATCTACTTCAACAATCCCGAATGTTGTGCCTACTTTATCATGACCTGTCAGTATGAATTAAGGAGTTGAGTCAACTACTCCATCTCCGCCCCCCCTGCACATCTCCCCCCTTCACATTGCAAGACCAACCCTGTATTTTGGTGGGCAGAGCGTAGAATGGGAACTGGAATCAGTGCCAACTCCTGACTGTTTGGAAGCTACTTCAGCACAATATAGAGGGAGAGCATTTAATTAGCACTGAAACTGTGTGCAAGGGCAAGGCTGCCATACGTCCAAGATTACGGGGATTTCAAAGGCGGAATTTCCAAAAGGTGGCGTTTGTTTAAAGAAAACTCAACAACTTTGGGGGTGTCCTGGTTTTTACTTTTTGAAATATGGCAACCCTGTGGGTCGGCTGAGAATTTCTTATTTTATTCTACACCCAGAAAGAGAAATGAGCATAATATGAAGGTAGCTCTTTAGTAAAAACCTACGTTAGCTTTTTTCCCCATTTACAATTACAGTGGTACCTCAGGTTAAGAACTTAATTCGTTCTGGAGGCCTGTTCTTACCTGAAACTGTTCTTAACCTGAGGTACCACTTTAGCTAATGGGGTCTCCCGCTGCCGCGCGATTTCTGTTCTCATCCTGAAGCAAAGTTCTCAACCCAAGGTACTATTTCTGGGGTAGCGGAGTCTGTAACCTGAAGCGTCTGCAACCCGAGGTACCACTGTATAATTTTTGAACGGAGTTTACTGACTTCCTCTTCTCGCTTAACATAATTAGTTTTCTGCTTCATTGTAAAAAGCTCTAAGCAGTTTACATGGAACAGAATACACTTTCAAATTATTGATAAATGTTATCAAGGTAAGATGAACACAAAACAGGGAATCAGGATAAATGAACAAAGATATCACACCGTAACACCTCCCCTCAACGAACATTGGGAGCTGTAGTTTGATGAGAACAGCGTGGCGCCATCAGCAAACCTCGCTGCTTCACTGCTTACCCCTAACTTTAGGTCATTTATAAGCAAATACAAAACGGCAGGTCCAAATACTGATCTTTGTCAGGATTCCACTTCCTCCATTCCTCTCTTGGGAGAACTGTCATTTCATTGCTACTTTCTGCTTCCTGTTCTTTAACCATCTACAGATCCATAAAAGGACCCGCCCTCATATCCTGTGACAGCTAAGCTTACTTAGGAGTCTGATGCAGAATTTTATTGCAGATTTTTTGAGATTCTAAGTACTGTACACAGTGTTGACTGGATCACCTCTCTATGCTTGTTGACAATCTCAAAAGAACTAAAAAAGTTTAGTGAATATGGATGTATCCTTGCAGAAATCTTGCTCTTCTATAAGCTTTTATAATGCTTTCCACCCAGGAACAGGTGTGGGAGGTGTCTGGTGTTAATTCTTTGTTCTAAAGATACATTTTCTGTAATAAAAACAACAACAAAATACGTTTAAAAATATAATGCTTTCCCCCAGTTTTCCTAGAAATAGACATTACACTATCTGGCCTGTGATTTTCCAGTTCCCCTTTGGATCCCTTTTAAAAAACTGGTGTCATATTGGCCACTTTCCAGTCCCTGGGTGTGGAAGCTGTACTATGGGACAAATTACATATTTTTGTTAGAGGACCAGCAGTTTGATGTTTGAACACACCATGGTTACCAACAAAGGAATGGCACGGAATTGGCAAAGCAATTAAAATGTTAGTTTTTGTTTCGACTTCAAAATTAAAATCAACCACTTTGACAGTAAAAGCTTTTTAAAAAGGAGATTCTGATTAAACAGCAGGAATAACCTGCTGGCAGTAAGAGCTGTTTGGCAGTGGAACAGACTTCCATGAGAAGTGGTAGACTTTCCTTCCTTGGAGGTTTGTAAGCAGATGTTGGAAGGCCACCTGTCATGTATGATCTACCTGAGATTCCTGCATTGAAGAGGGTTGGACTAGATGACCCTGCAGGTCCCTTCCAACTCTATAATTCTGTGATTCCATGATATGTTTATTGCAAATGTAACTGTGAAAGCTAGAAAGCACTCAGATAAAAATGGATTCTAGACCTCTTGTTTGTACCTTGATGTGTACGTTTGCACTGTTTTGTTAACTCTCTTACCAGTTCCTAAACTAGATTTTTTAATTTTCAGATGCTGGAGGAAACAGACATTCAGTAAGTATGCATTTTATTTCAGCCATAAGAACTCAGGAGATAAGAACTTGATTGTCAAAGCAGAAGCCTAGATTTCTGTTTTAATAAATGCTTTCTGTATTTTGTTCATTCTTACAATGTATCCTTACAGTGAGCTGGTAAACCTAATATGAATAATAAGCAACTAGAGAGAGCTTCTGTAAATTATAGTTATTTTTAATGTTCAAAAGAATTTAATAATCGCTTTTTTAATTTCCTTTTTTATTTTATATCTTCACCTTTTCCCAGTGTAGCCCAGAGTATAAATTAAAACAGATACAACTAAAAACACACAAATATGTAACCCACCCATTAGCTTCATCCATTAACCCTGATTGTCTTTGGAGAAACAGGTAGAGGAGGTAGGATGAAAATAAATAAATGCAAATTGCCGGTATGGTGGGTCTGATCTGGTTTGGAAGCACACTGCAGGGGGATAAAATCTTCCCTATCCTCCACATTAGTGTCTTGATACAGATTCTTCCTCAAAAACACACATACAACTCAATTCTGGCAATTGTGTAAAGAAACAAACCCTACACTTAAGGGCACAGATATGTATAGCTAGCATATTGATTAGCTTGGTCCTGAAGCATTATTATTATTATTATTATTATTATTATTATTATTATTTGTTCATATTCCTTCAACAAGACTGAATCAGGGAGTTCTTGCTGCTCCCTGAGAACAGCAACTTATAGATCTGGAGTGGGGTTATTGGGCGGTTGTTTTTATTTTGATTATACATTTTGTGGTTTTATATTTTGATTTTGTTCTGGGACCCGCCCTGAGACTCTGGGTATAGGGCGGCATATAAATTCAATAAATAATAATAATAATAACTAGAAGAGAAAAGGCCTCTGGCACACCATGACAGTTTGCATACACAACATATATAAGATATGCTTATTTATATGATATGCTTATTTTACAACAAAGACAGCCTTCTTTTCTAACACAGAACACAGATGAACCAGTTGGCATGTGGGTAGTCAGAAACAGATTGCACATATATTTTAAAGACTTGTTTAGCGATCTCTTACAGTGGTACTTGTGCTTTCCTTAGGTTGGAAGCATGGCAATCACAACATCAGAAGCAATATGATTGAGGGGGATCTTTTTACTTCCCCCTATCTCACCTGGTGCATGATCACTGTTTATATAGAAACAAGCCAGGGGGAAATTGAGCACATGGTGCTGCCCAGACCAGGACCTCCTCATTGTGTGCCTCTGCATGTGGAATACTGCTTTTGGCTTGTGTGAGGAACTGAGTTGAATAGGATTCAAAAGGCAGCAGTCTGATTGGTCCTAGAACAATAGGATTCAGAATGCAGCAGTCTGATTGGTCCTAGAACAATAGGATTCAGAATGCAGCAGTCTGATTGGTCCTAGAACAATAGGATTCAGAATGCAGCAGTCTGATTGGTCCACAGGAGCCACCCAATCCAGCTCCAGGTGGAAGTGAATCCGCAACCTGATTGGCCTACAGGTGAATCCCGGAATTAGCCAATCACGTGGGGCCCATTGTGTAAATAATGTATATAAAGCAGACATCCTGGGGGAACTTCCATTCCTCCTCAGCACTATGAGCTGAATAAAGAGCACACTCGACTCCGAGTATATTTCAGCTTGCTCAAAGAGTGATATTTAGCAGTGGGATGCTGTGAGCATCTGTTTGAGTAGCAAACCAACAGCAGTAAGCTTTGGGTGTGGTCAGAAGACGGCACTGGTTTCTCAAGGAAGTCTCCAAACGAAGCCTCACAGATGTAGGAAGTCACGTCCTTTGCCTGGCTGCACTTTCGCACGTGACCATAAGCACACGTGAGTCATAGCACATTCAGGATATTCAAATGCCCCATAATGATGTGAGTAGGTCCTGACTCTGAATCACAATAGCATCAGTTGCATCACTCAGTGACAGAAAATGTGTGCGTGCACACACACACACACACAAAACATTCTTGTTAATAGGTGTTCTTGTTAATAGGCATCCGAGTCCTCCTGAGATTAGGAAGAAACTCTTTGTATTCTTTATATCTGACTGGGACAGGACTGAAGGTCACAGATTCTGTTAGAATATAAACAGACCTATTTTAACAGAGGAACAGTAGTTACCACATCCCTGTTCATTTCAGATTAGCATTTTAATATCTCGGTTGCCTTAGACTTGCATTGTTCATTGTTAAAGTGCTTCCAGGCGGGTATTTGTGGGGTGGGATCAGTGCTCCTCATGCGTGCAAGTTTTTTTGCAGGGTCCACACAATGTTGTTAAATGTATTTTCTTCCATTTAATTCTCTTTCAACTGAAGCCCTCTGACTCTAAAGCAGCATATTTTTGGTCAACATCAATAGGTGGAAGAATAAACAAGAGTGACTGATGGTTACTATCTAAATGGCTTTGTAGGAGAAGATATTTAATAGTTTGCCCCGATCACTCCTTCTTTAAAATAAGAATTTGTCCAAGGCATTGACCTCTAAAACTTTTACAACAGAAGCAACAAAAACTCACCAAAACAATTCTGCCTTTGTACTGGCTTCTTATAACCTCTTAGGCATATTCAAAGATTCTGTTTTAATTATAAGACCTTAAAAAGATCAGAGAGAGAGAGAGAGAATGTAAGGGCAACATCCTATATATTTATTGTCATCATCACCATAAGAATATAGTGCCATTTTAGCCCAAAAGAGCTGAACTTGTTTGGTAAGATTATTTGGGGATGAGAGGAGCACAGATTTTCCCAAAATGACAAAAGTGTCAACCAAATTTTGGAAGGGCAGTTGAATCTAGCTAGATTTACATCTGAGTCACCACATTTTGGGTTGGGCTGAAAAGTGCTTTTTGTTTCGATGGGAAAGTTAAACAGACCCTTAAGCTCTCTCACGTTGAAGACAATGGAACTTCTTAGTGCCTAACTTGGCTGAGTCTTTAGGGTTGACATATTCCAAACCAGAGAACAGCCGTATACTTTTACACACCCCACTGAGGCAGGGATTGGGCTACTGAACTTCTCCTACCGATTCCCTCCCCAAACCACTCACCCACCTACGCTGCCACCTTCTTACAGTGTGGCATACCTGGAGAGGCTGTGCTTAAGCAGGGGAGGATGGTGGGTGACTGTGCCAGGCAGGGAACAGGTAGGAAAAGAAATTATGACTGCCTTATCTCCTTCAGCAGGGACGCGGGTGGCGCTGTGGGTTAAACCACAGAGCCTAGGACTTGCTGATCAGAAGGTCGGCGGTTCGAATCCCCACGACGGCGTGAGGTCCTGTTGCTCGGTCCCTGCTCTTGCCAACCTAGCAGTTCCAAAGCATGTCAAAAGTGCAAGTAGATAAATAGGTACCGCTCCGGTGGGAAGATAAACGGTGTTTCTGTGTGCTGCTCTGGTTTGCCAGAAGTGGCTTAGTCATGCTGGCCACATGACCCAGAAGCTGTATGCCGGCTCCCTCGGCCAATAAAGCGAGATGAGCGCCGCAACCCCAGAGTCGACCACGACTGGACCTAATGGTCAGGGGTCCCTTTGCCTTTTTATCTCCTTCAGCATTGTAAGATTTCAAGGCACACGAATGATCTCCAGCTTTAAATCCTGCAACCCTGCTGCTGTGGGTGATGCCCTTGCTTTCTTCACCTCCTGTTTTCTGAAACGTAAGGGTTTACCTTGACAAGTGCTTGTGCACAAGAAACAAGGGCCATAAGCTTCATTTATTTTATTTAAGGTGGGGGGGGGTAGGAAAATCAAGTGGCGCTTCTCACAAGCAAGGTGTTCCGGGATTGTTTCCCCCAAAGAATATTAGAGACTATAGCTTTTGAAAGGGGTGCTGGGAATTGTAGCTCTGTGAGGATGAAATTACAGGTCCTAGGATTCTTTGGAAGGTCATGTGCTTTAAATGTATGTTGAAGGGCTGTGGTCATAAACACCACCAACATAGTTTATAGTACACCAGTCAGAGCTGGGTTTTTGTTTGTCTGTTTTTTGCACTTTTCAAATTGTATCAAACTGCTTTGAATTTAAATTGGATCAGTTCTTTCTTATGTTTTAATCGATTATAACAGAAGCTCTAAGAACCACTGCTTTGAACTTTTAAAGCTGCAGGGATATATGGAATTTAATATATGCCCCTGCATCCCATAATAATCTCATTGTTTGACCTCATGGGTCTTCTTCTAATTGTTCTAATTCAGAATTATAGATGTCAAACATTGCATGTCATGCATGGGACTTGTTTGCAGATGCTTCTACAGTGCTCCTTGCCCCTTAATGAATTCTGTCTCAAGCTAGTTTTGAAAGTATCATGGGCAAATTTTGAATTACTCAGAAAGGAACTGGGTGGGGGTTTCCTTCCTGGAATCAAAGCTGGCAATCTTTCTGTGTTATTTAATAGCTGCCACCAGTTTCTGAAAACATATGAAAAGGAAATATCTTAACAATGAGCAACCACTTCTTCAAATACTAATTTGGTATTGTGCTTGATTTGCTTCAGCAATGCAGCTTGACTTTATCAACATTTTCCCCTCCATTACTTTGTCTCGTTGGTTTGCAGCTATACAAGCAAAATACAGCTAGAACATACTTTCAGTGTTAAATTACTATAGATTTAAAGGGTGCCATGTTGGAAGATGATATCTACTATCTACCTCTTTGAACAGCTGTCCATTTGGGACACCTTCTGCTGCCATTGTGGTCAAATGAACCCAAGCCACTTGAGAAAATTCTGAATTGCAGCAAAGATGCTGTTCAATAACTCAGCTACTCTAAGAAGGGGGTGTGAGTGTTTTCATCAGTACCTAAGAAGAAACTATGGGACGCGGGTGGCACTGTGGGTTAAACCACAAGAGCCTAGGACTTGCCGATCAGAAGGCCGGCAGTTCGAATCCCCGCAACGGGGTGAGCTCCCGTTGCTCGGTCCCTGCTCCTGCCAACCTAGCAGTTCAAAAGCACATCAAAGCGCAAGTAGATAAATAGGTACCGCTCCAGTGGGAAGGTAAACGGCGTTTCCGTGCGCTGCTCTGGTTCGCCAGAAGTGGCTTAGTCATGCTGGCCACATGGCCCAGAAGCTGTAAGCTGGCTCCCTCGGCCAATAAAGCGAGATGAGCACCACAACCCCAGAGTCGGTCACGACTGGACTTAATGGTCAGGGGTCCCTTTACCTTTAAGAAGAAACTACTTATGATGGAACAACAAATTATTGTGCTGAAGGCATCCATTTTAAATTCCAGGGAAAACATTACACTGTTGTTGTGGAGACACAAAGAGAGACATAGTTAAAAACCACATAAAGACAACAGAGTGGAAACTATAGGTACACTTTGGTATGTCTTTTGTGTGGAAAAGAGCAGTCCATTTTGCTCAGATAACCTTACTTTCAAGTACATCTGTATTTACATGTCCATTGGTACCTGTTGGCTGGGCAGAAAAGCCACCCCAAATGCCTTGAGGGGAGATGGTGCTGACCAATTCACGTTGCCCACCATTGCAGATGTGCAGTTATTATGTAGTAGCGAAGGAAGAACACATGCTTGAAAAAACTCTCTTCTTTCTCAAAGGTCTTTAGAACATATTCCAGGCTCTAATTCAGGGGTGGGGAACCTGTAACCCTCCACATATTGTTAGATTCCAACTCCCTTCAGCCCCAGCCAATCATCATCATCATCATTTTTAATTTGTATACCGCCTTTCTATCTTACAATACTCAAGGCGGTTTACAAGCTGAAGAAACAAAAAATGTACATCTTATAACAATCTAATGCAATACAAAAATGTGATAATAAAGCATAACTTTAAAATAGGCAGCCTACATCAAAATAGTAACATTCAACAATCAATTAGAATAGTATAAAATAATAATAACATGTAAAAGTTAAACAGAAATCCACTCCACAGTTACAATAATATCTAAACTATAATCAATAAAACAATAGCAAGCCACAGTACATAAAACAATACAATACACATTGAGAAGCAGAGGGTAGAGCAAGGCAGGTGGAAGGAGGCCTTGCCTGATGAAGTCTCTCCCCTCACAGGAACTCCTCCAGGAACTCCAGGAACATCTCCCTTATGAGGACTCCTAGGGCCGGAGGGTGGGGCAAGGCAGGTGGAAGAAGGCCGTGCCTAATGGAGTCTCTCCCCTCCCCGATGTGCATAATGCCAATGTGCATTGCATAACTTTACAAAATTGATTTTGCATGTTTTTAACTTTTAGCAATCTATTTATTGGATCCAGAGGAGTGTCCTATTTTGATGTGATACTTGATCAACATGTTGGATTTGTGCTTACTGTGTTTTCTTCCCATTGTTTGCAGCGAATAGAAAGTTCTCCCGATGAGACTTAGAAAAGCAGGCAACAGACACCTGTGAAAACAAGGAGGAGGACGATCTACTAGTTCCCAACATTCTGCAGCATTTAGGTGCTCTCAGAAGTCACATTTCGCTTGAGCTGTTGGTAACCCCCGTGGGGCGAACCTAGCACCATCTATACAGTGTTACTGCTGTTCTGCCACTGCTACTGCTTCGCATAGGGCTCACCCACACTTCCACTTGCCCTGCTGCTTCCTCCAAGGAAACCTGCTGTTTTTACAAACCTCAGTAGGGCTTTCCACAGATTGACATTTGCTTCAGTTTAGTGGTAAAGAGTGGGTTTTTTTCTGGGGAAAGCGGCAGGGCAAACGGAAAACCACTTGGACCTGTGTTTTGCATCCATCGGACAAGCATGAGGATGTGGGTGAGCCCAGAGTGATGTAGCCTCTCCCAACGTTTGAGCTGTATTTGTTTTTAATGCCATTCTAATCAACAGATGTGTGTGTACATATGGAGACTGTTTGCCCACCTCTCTTGTTTTCAGTCCTCCAAACCCTTATGGAGAGATGCTATGCCTGCCAAAATGTGAAGCTACATCTGGTCACTTCCCTATGATCCCCGAAGACGGTGCAAGCCACTCTGGCAATTGATTTGTGGGCATAAATGCTGCTGGTAGCAAAACATCAGAGTGGGTTTTTTTTTCCGGACAGAGGGGTGTCTTACAAACATGACACTCTTTCACACACAGGAAAAATGTCCAGTGTGTTTATAGTAGCATTGACATTTCATGTCCTGTTTGCATCATCCATGGAATGCCTTGGTGCTCTGTGGCTAGGGTGGGTGGGTAGAAAATGAATATTAAACACCCATTGTCTGCCCCCAGCGTTCACTTTCTGAAGGTGTACAATAAATAAGTCCTTAAAGGATTTGCCTTTATATATATATAGAAGTGCTACTATTATAGCTGTCTGACAAAGCAGGTTTTTGCTTTTGAGACTCAACCTCATCTGTAGACCTGGGCATGTCACAGTTGAACCAAATAACTATATTTTAAGTTGAATATCTGTGCAAGGTTTCTGACTTTCCTAAAGGAGTAATGCCAGTGCAACTGTGAGCTTCAGTTGTTCTTTGTCAAACAACTTCTTGCATCGAGGGTTCTTTCATATGCTGCTTAATAGTTCACTGCATAAATTACTTTTCTTCCCATGAGTCAGATGACACAAAGCAGAGATCACTGATACATTATAGGACTGTGAAGACGTCATAGTACTGTGACGTCATATTATTGGGCAGAGCAGGAGCACACTTGCTGTATCCACCCTCTGTGACATTCAGCACACGGTCTAAAAGAGTCTCCACATGTACAAACTGCACTTGCATATTCCTGCTTGCACAAAGGGTACACACAGACAGTTTGTACATGCTTAGCTTTTTCAGAAGTTACGTTGAACATATGTTGGAAGTGGGGGCATGATCTCATTTCCACCTCGCTGGCACATTACATCTACCCAAAGGGTTACATCTGCATAGTCCACTCTTTAGATCCTTGGTTGGGATTTGAAACAGACCTTGATTTTACATTTGCAGTGTTTTGCCATTCCATCCTCTCTTGAATATATCTCTGGAAATCTGGAAATCAGAAATGATTCCTGGGTATGGGAAGGGAAGCCAGGATTCAATAATTCCAGTTCAAAATGTCCCTCTCCTTTATTTGTGATAAATTTTAAAAGACACTAAGATGATGAAAATGCTGTACTTATATGTGGCACATCTTTTATAATAAGGATTCCATTTAAAACATGTAGCGTGGATTGGCTCGGGACAAGAGTAAGGATTTCATTTTAAAGTGATTGCTATGATACAAAAAGCTGCAATGCTTATAGCCCAATAAGTAGTCTCACTTTTTATTGGACTTACTCCCAAGGCAGTAATCCTAAGGCAGCCTTTATGCTGGTGCAAGCTTCCATTGATTTTAGCAAAGCTTCTTCTGTCTGTCTACTGTGATATTTGTGCTGCTCATAAAAGCAGGACGTAGACTCCAGCAGAAAGTGATGTGTAAATGCTCAAGCACATATAACACCAGTCAATAATTTATTAATGTATTTAGCCACAAAAACCATGAAGCTACATATAACAAAGAAGTGAAGAACACTAATATCAATGAAACATGGCTTAAGTCATGTTCCTTGTGTTAAATGATCTATAGGCAGATGTTGGGACTAATCTTGTTACCTCTGTGGATTGGTATCTGTTTTTCAAGCAAGGTTTATTACGAACCACAAAAAAGAGTGAGCCACGCAGGTTCTTGCCAATGCGATATATTTTAATTAATCTCCTTTCAGTTGCTGCATTGCACTTTTGAAGACTCGCCTTTTTAAAAGTTTAGCAGTGACAGGCTCTTTGCAACACTTGGCAAATGCGTTTAGGAGAACCTTGGCCGTGCTTCCCCATTCAAATGTTATTACACTGAATTTGATGAGGTATTTAATTAAAGAATTGACTCAAATGTAATTTGTGGCTGAATCTTTTCTTATTACATTTGTCACACGTGTGTGAGAATATACAAGTGCGGACGTTAGATAGGCATCAGACTGAGAGCTGCGTTGAAAGCTTCAGTGATGCCGTTAGCTAATTTTAGACTCTGAACTTCATGGTTTTGGAAACAGTCTGTGTGACTTTCCTTGGATGCAGCCTCTCTGTAGCCAGGCGTGACATTCTGGCAATAATTCTGTGTCTAGCAGCCCGTGTGTGTTATCAGAAGTGTTTGGCCCAACCCATCCAGCTGAGTCAAGTTATGATGGGGAAAAGCTACGGCTTATGCCATTCCCACGATTGTCCTAGTGCTAGCACTTGTGTATGTGTACCACTGAGTGAGGGCTAAAGTCTGTGCAAAACCCTGTGCAAAGGGCCAAGAAGCCCATCCCTTGTGCTAGCTGAAGGCACTTCAAAGTGGTGATAAAAACATCCATGGAAGAGGGCGACGAGGTAAGCACACGAGGTGTACACACTGAAAATGAAAACACAATATAGGGTCCACTGGCATTCTTCTTTCAGTGGATACCAGCCCTTTTGTTAGAAGCTGGAATTGGAATGCACATCATTTTGGGTACAGCTGTCCAAGGTTTGGGAGGGGTGGAGGTTTAAAGAATATCTTAACACCTTATGCCAGAAGGACTGTTTTGGTTCTCTTTGCAGTAGCTTCTTACTTTGTCTAACCATGTCTTTGCATCCACCCACCCACCCTTGCCTGCTTTGCAGGGCATGGGGAGAAGATCAGCAATCTGCTTCTCTGTGACGATGACCAGCTGTCAGTTGTGCTGTCAGGGTAGGACTTTGGGGCAAGACCCAATTCAGCAGAATGCAGCAGGGTTGGCTTCCTCCGTGTTGAAGTAAGTGAAATAGCACATATTAAGTAGCCCTCTCCACTCCAGTAAGACCATCAAGCTCCAAGTGTAGCACTGTGGAAATTGGCCTGTGTAGAATAGGACACATTCCTATACAAATGCTCCATACAAGAGTTCCTCTGAACCCTAACAGAGCCACCTTTAGCATCTTAGAACTCAGCTATACAGCTGCAAATATAACGTTTTAAGTGCATTATACAAATGTGACACTAGATGGCACCAGTGAGCTAATGGCAAATTCCACATATATTTTAAAACATTTTAAATATATATATGTGTAAATTCAGCCTTAGTTACTATTCTCTCTGTACTATATATATGTTCCAATAGCTTTTCAACCCATATTCTTCGGACCATGCTAGGACTTGATTTCTTACTACAGTATTATTAATAATAAACAAATTTATGGAACATTTTAAAGCACAAACCTCCTCTTCTTGGAAGTCTCAGTCTCAGTGAGTTCAGCGAGGACTTAATTATTCAAGGGCTACTGGAAAGCATCATACAGAATGCAAAGTCAGGGTAGGAATAGCTTATAATGCAAGCATCTCCTATTGAAATGTCCTTTTCTACAGAAGTATTTAAGGTCCAGAATCCTGCACTGTTGGTCATCCTAGCTTGCAGATATATATATATATCTCAGTTTCCGCTCCCTTTTACAGATAGATAAGGAAAAAGGTGGTGGAATAAGTGTTTCCTTTTTTAAAAAAATATTCTGATCTGAGTTGGAGCTGTCAGTACTCCTCTTCATGCGTTGCAGAATGAAGATAATAATAATAATTTATTATTTATACCCCGCCCATCTGGCTGAGTTTCCCCAGCCACTCTGGGCGGCTCCCAATCAGTGTTAAAAACAGTACAGCGTTACATATTAAAAACTTCCCTGAACAGGGCTGCCTTAAGATGTCTTCTGAATGTCAGGTAATTATTTATCTCTTTGACATCTGATGGGAGGGTGTTCCACAGGGCGGGCGCCACTACCGAGAAGGCCCTCTGCCTGGTTCCCTGTAACTTCACTTCTCGCAATGAGGGAACCGCCAGAAGGCCCTCGGCGCTCGAAGATGCACTTTAAGGCTGTGTACACACTGTACATGTAAAACACATCTGAAGCATTGGACACATTCTACCCCTCCAAAGAATCCTGGAAACTGTAGTTTCTCCTCAGAGAACTAGAATTCCCAGCACCCTTGAACTACAGTTCCCAGGATTCTTGGGGGCAAAAATGTGCTTTAAATGTATGGCGTATACACAGCCTTAGAAACAACCTTCGCCAGCCTCCCTCATGGAACTGCAGGTCTCTGAAGAGAATCAATTGATTAAGCCAACTTAAGTCTGTGGCACAGCTAAGATCAAGCAGAGTGAATGCATTTTCATACCTACATTTGTAGGTACAAGTATACCTACAGAAGTAGTTTGCGAAGTCCACCCTTGTAGAAGGGGGCTGGAGTATTCAAGAGGTCAATGTCCTTTTATTCAGACAAAAGGTTTTGGAAGCCAAGAATGTCCATCTGGCAGCTAAGCGTAAGACTTTGGAAAGATCTTTGTGTCCACTCAGTTCAAATCTGGGCTTGGTTTCAACAAGATGCAAACAATGAGCCATTAAAACTCTGGATGTTTAGTTCTCTGTGTATCTGCTGTCTCGCCAAGGCTGGATCAACAGCCATAAAACAAAATGTGGTTGACCTTTGTCGAGACCATTAGCAAGGCTTCACCACTGAAATTAATTGGGTTCATTTGAAAGATGTTTGAGGGGACAGTAGTTCTCAAGAAAAGCAATCTCATAAGGTAGGAATACTCCCTTGAGTGTACTGTACTGTTTCTGTTTGCCTGGTAATGTCCTAAAGTGAGATGAAATTGGGCGACCCTTATCATTGAAGACTGTTGCTTTTACGAAAATACGAGTTAAGGGAATATTTCCAGATTGCAGGCAACTTGTTTTAGAGGCCCCCCCTCTTTCTGGAATTTTATGAAAGGAGTATAGACTCTTTTCCATCAACATTCAGTAGGAAAGGGTTTTCCGGGGGGGGGGGGGACTAACAGGGGCTGCCTAATTTACTTCCTGTTGTCTGCATGTAACATTGCAGAGAGAGAAAAAGCGCAGAAAGCACAGAAAAAAACATTAAGTGTATGAATCCAGCATGTCACACTCATTTGCATGTTGGATAGAATTGCACTTCATGTTTTATTGTAACTGTTGGACTAAGTTATTGAACGGAAGGGTGCCTGGCCTCCCTGTCAGCTACCTATCCTCAGTAAGAGCGCTGATGCTGGTTCATCTTGAACCAAAGTGACTCTGGAGAGAAGGGCTCACAGATCTGGTCAGGGAGAGGGGAAGCTTTCTCTTTGTGAAGGCGAGAGGGCTTTGAAAAGCTGGTCTCCCGCTGAATGCTTCAGTTACGGGATTGCTAAACTTTGCTGGCTGGATCACCACAGACTAAAACACTATTGCTGAAGTGAAATCCACCTAGGAGGGGATGCAAGAGCTGCTCTAGACCTATCTTAAAGGTAAAGGTAAAGGTACTAAAATTTATTATTATTATTATTACCCCTGCCCGTACGGGCCAGTCTTGACAGACTCTAGGGTTGTGCGCCCATCTCACTCTATAGGCCGGGGGCCAGCGCTGTCCGGAGACACTTCCGGGTCACGTGGCCAGCGTGACAAGCTGCATCTGGCGAGCCAGCGCAGCACACGGAACGCTGTTTATCTTCCCGCCAGTAAGCGGTCCCTATTTATCTACTTGCACCCGGGGGTGCTTTCGAACTGCTAGGTTGGCAGGCGCTGGGACCGAGCAGCGGGAGCGCACCCCGCTGCGGGGATTCGAACCGCCGACCTTTCGATTGGCAAGCCCTAGGCGCTGAGGCTTTTACCCACAGCGCCACCCGCGTCCCTTAGACCTATCTTAGAAATTCCTATTGGCTTGAAGTTGCAGAGCCACAGAAGCCTCTGCTGGCTCATTCTGGAGTTCCCTCTTGCAATGCTCACCAGTTGCTGTTGCAAGCCTGTCTACTGCTGTCGGCTGATTGGAGTTCCATGCTGCAATGCTCTCAAATTCCGCATCTAGAAAGAGGTGAGTGGGCAAGTTCTGAGTTCCAGACTATCCCCTACCCTAGGTCGCTGTCTGTCTGTACATATACGGAATACTGCATCTCTGTCGGCAATGCCGTTTCCCCATAAAAATAGCTCTAAAACGGCTTTTTTTTTTTTTTTGCCCAAAAAGTTTAACAACTTTGGGTAAAACTAAAAAAATCTCACCAACTTTTCTGTCCGGATCTGTTTGAAATAGGGCAACCCTACCCCACCCCCATTCATGGGAGGGATTATTATTATTATTATTATTATTATTATTATTATTATTATTCATTCTGTGTTCTCAGTTTGTGTTTTTATGTTGTGAACCAGGTGAAAGGTGGTATTCAAATTTAACAAGAGTAATGATATCATAACTTTTAAGTCTCAGGTTATTCCAGGGCTGGTGGGATACACATGGCCACTTTGCACTTCACAGGGCATGCAGGCAAGCATAGGGTTACCAGATGTCCCCGTTCCCAGGGACAGTCCCCAGATTTGCAAATCTGGCCCTGGACAAATTCCGTCCCCGGAATGTCTACTGATTTGCAATTCTGTCCCTGGAAAACGTGGCAGTGGCAGCCTCAGCAGCCCAGAACCAGCCTGGTAGCGCAGTTGGCTCTGGCTGGCTTCAGGAGCTGCTCGCTGCCCTGGCACCCGCCATTTTTCCTCGTTGGAAGTCCCCATATGATGTGTCTTGTGTGCAACACATCATATGGGGACTTCCGGCGAGGAAAAATGGTGGGCGCCACAGCAGTGAGCAGCGAGCAGCTCCTGAAGCCAGCCAGAGCCAACTGCGCTACCAGGATGGCTCCGGGCTGCTGACTGCCACTGCCGCCGCCACTGCCGAACGGGAACCGGGGACGTCTGGCGGTACAGATCTGCCACCTTCCCCCTTTGTTTTGACTGATCGGGGGAGGCTCAGGAGTTGCTGGTGGCCGTTGCCCAGTTTTTTAAAAACTGCGCATTTATGTTTCACAGGGTGCAAAAGAAGCGCTTTGCACCTCACCATCCCCACTACTGACTCCCTGTTGCTAAAG